CACTTGATGTCAAACCGCTCGGTTTGAAAATTTTATAAACCGCCATTACGGTTTGGTTTGTGGTTTAAGGGGTTAAACCGCCCAAACCAGACCGCGAACACCCCTAGCTACAACATCAGACTGCCTTTCCACAACAATTTGTGGATCCACAATTACTTGTGGTGTCTGTGTTGGTTCCGTCTGTGTTGACGTATTTTGATCTTGAACAATTTCAAGTTCTACATTCCTCTTACTGATACCTTTGGAAATAAATTTCTTTTCCAAAAAAACACCAGTACGCCCAACAAACACTTTATTGTTGTGAGGATGATAGAAATAATATCCCATAATTTCTTTGGGATATCCTTCAAATATGCATTTATCAGATTTTGGTTCTAATTTAGTTGTGATTAGACAGCGTAAGTAAACCACACAACCCCAAATCTTCATAAAAGATAATTTGGGACTCTTCCCAGTCCATATCTCATATGGTGTCTTTTCAACAGATTTTGATGGAAACCGGTTTAGTGTGAAAGCTGTTGTTTGTAGAGTATATCCCCAAAAGAACATCGGAAGGTCAGCTTGACTCATCATATATGTACCATATCCAACAATGTACGATTCCTCCTTTCAGAAACACCATTCCACTGTGGTGTTCCAGGTGGAGTAAGTTGTGATACGATACCACAATTTCTAAGATKATCAAGAAAAGCATGGTCTAAGTATTCGCAATTCGATCAGATCAAAGAATCTTAATACTCTTTCCAAGTTGGTTTTGTACTTCATTTTGAAAATCTTTGTACATCTCAAAGGACTCGGATTTATGTCGCATCAAATATGCATAGCCGAATCTACTGAGATATCAGTAAATGTAATGAAGTATCTATAACCACCTCTAGCTTGTATGTTCATCGGACCAATACATCACTATGTATGATTCTACTTCCTTAGACATACCCTTCAACCAACAACCCATGACTCTAGCTTGACTTTTGAGAGAATGGTGATCCTCTACTGCATTGTGACTGTAAGAGATTCAGTGTGAGAGAAGTCATTTAAAAGAGCATAAAGTCCTGTGTAGAGAAGATCAAAGGAGACCTTTGGCATACATCACTGATCTATGCACTACTGACCAGGGCAAAGGTAAGATTTTTTTTCCTACTGATGAGTTTATGACAGGAGAGGCTGTGATTTGAAATTCAAACAATCAAAAGAGTAAAGAAGAATGTAGAGAAAGCAATGAAGAAGACTGCCATTGCTGCAACACAGGTTATGGCTGCTGAAACCACCACCCCTGCCCCTGTTGCTGGTACTTCAACCAAATCAAGAAGGATCCTAAGATTAGAGCCTGCACCTAAGCTTGCACATGCACCAACACCTATACCACATCCCAACCTTGTAACCAACTCATTCTTATATGTAGTGAAGGAGATGGAGAAACATCATGAGGACCTGTTGAGGAAGTTAGAAGAGCATCTGCATGGCAAGAATGGAGAAACAAAAGTAGGAGCTTGAAACAAAGGTAGAGAAGAGTGAGCAGAAGTTGTTGGCCTGTTTGAAAAAACAGGATAATGCTATGTTAAACATGAGAAAGCTCACTGCTCTACACGGAAATTACCAGATGAAGAGGGATGGTGTGATGGAGTTTGATTGAGCCATGAATAACCCAACAAAATATGCCAATATTGGGCCTTACCCACCAGAGTTCATCAAAGAAGCTGAGGAGTTCATTCCTCTAGAGGCAGCACAACCTACTCCCAACGAGTAGGGCAGGTCCATTTCATTCACCCTTAGCTCCATAGTATTTGATTTTCTTATTTTTTCAGTTTATATATATTGAGTAGAGGAATTTTGAATTTTGTTTTAGGAGTTTATGAGATTGTTTGACTGTAACATACCATATCCAAATTAATTTTGTTGTTAAAGGTCCATTCTAACACTTAAGGCTAGAACCAAGCACACCCACCTGGGAAGCAAACAGACATCCCAACTTGTTTTTGAAATATGACTTAGGACATTCTTTCCTACATATTAGCCTATACAATATCGTTTTAAACCATGACCCTATCCTTTAAAGAAACCTCAATGAGGCCATTGACAAATTCAAGTGTGGGGGAGGGAGTATATGCACTATATGTACTGCTATGCAACAGAAGTCCAAAGGACATTAGCTAAAAGCTCAAAGCTCATTTCTTTTTTTGCATAGAGTACCAAATATTCAAATCAAAGGAGAAAGGATCAAATATGCATAGCATATACACTGTCTGTGCATTACAGAAAAACTTGAATAAATTGAAGAAAGAATGCACTAAGACTCAAAAGAAGAAAAACAAATAAAAAGTCCTAATGATTCTGAATTTTAGCAATTGATAGATGTCTAACAATAGAAAGTGTGACTCTTGGCCCATGGAAATAAGTGGAGGGATTGAAACACACACAAAATTATGCATGACTATGGTGTTGTTTTGCTTCAATCTCATTATGTTAAAATTTTCATTTTCACCCTCCAAATTTTCTTTCATATTTATAGTATTGAGTCATTTCATGTTGTCATTTTAGTTGCTTGGGGACAAACAACAGTTTAACTGTGGGGGTGTGATAAGTGTGCAAAAGCATACACCTCAGTACCCAATTATGTGTTTATTTCACTTCATTTTACACCTTTCCTAATCCTATATTGAGTCTTTTAGTCTTATATTATGGTTTTACATTTAGTGGAGCTAGGATGCAGGAATTGTAATGTCTTATACATTTGATAAGTAAAATGTTTAACATAAGCATTGTTGTAGCAGGTGTGTCCGTTGATGCAACATTAGACATTGATATTGGCACCAAAAGGCTCAATCTCGTTGAATAATGTGAAAAGTCAAGGTTTTAAAGAAGCATCTCCTAATACTCTGATTTAGATAGATGGGTACAATTACACAGACCTTTTTCAACTTTTTAAATCTTATTAATGTATATCAAGAATTAACACATAGATATACATGATAGACTGTTATAGAAGAATGAAAGGATAACCTAACCTGACCAATCTTACAAAAAGAAGAACTTACAAGAACAACATAGAGAGTACTTACAAGGAAATGAAGAACACTAAGGTTTTCTTCACAGACGGGAGAATAAGAGAGTAGTATAAGAAAGCCGATTGTATTGAGAATGCACTTAGAAATTCTTTCAAGGAAGCGTAGTTTTCATGGGAGATGCATACTGCCTTTTATACTACCTTCATACATTAAATGCATGGGAACACTTGTCACATTAGGATAAGAAGGCAGGGGTTGACTTGACCATAGTTAATATATCATTTTCATCATACACCGCATACACATAGCAATGTTCATGCAGAGACAAACCTACTAATAAGGAATATCTTTATTAGGTACATGTTTTGCAGAGATATGGTCAGTCTATAGGAAAATCTTACTTGAATGAAGATCTTCTTTGAATCAACTAGTAACTTCAAAACATCTTCAATCTTCAAATCAGCTACTTTGGAGTCTTGGTATGTAATTTAGACAGTTGATCCACAGTATAAAATCAGTGATCTTTTGTCTTCACATCCGCTAGTCTTCAATTTTGCCAAGAGGCTTTGAGTGTGTACCAAGAAACCAATATACAAAAGAAACCAATAACTATTAATTGTTGATAGGATAGAGGAACAGATTATAGGGTTATCACCAAATCAATAGGTGATCCAACACTTGTGATTTGTTCATTGGGATTAACAGTTTATCCATTGTGTATGTTAATATTTATTTTAAAAAAAATATGTACTTGTGATTTATTCACCCAGATCAACAATTTGATCAAGATTAATCTATACTATATTATGAAGAATTTAATAAAAACTCCTAAAAACCAATTTTTATGCATGAAACATTGTTTATTGATGTATATTACTTAAGGTTCAAGATTACAATTAAACTGTGTGTAAGTACAACTTATTAAAACTCCATGTTTGAATTTATGTAACTACCTGTAGATAAACCTAATTAAATACATGATAAACATATCATTTTAATTATAAAAAATCTAAAATATAATTAGGATAATTATTGAGTTCTAGCAAAATACTTAATTATTATCTTTATAAAAATTGTATTATTAAATAGAATATAGATTACTTCGTTGTTAAACCTAAAAAAATATAACAAAAAAATTGAATGAATGAAATTATAACAATTCGAGAATTTTTAAATAGTTAATTTGATACTAATATCGATATAATTTTTTTCAAATTTTTGTGATATCTTCAAATTTATTTTTTATTTAAAAATAAAAACATTATCGCTTTCTCAAAACCACATAAAAATGTATTATATCAACAGAGACAAAATAAAACGAACACTAAAATCGAGATATATCTCTCTACATTGTGCAAGTATCCTTCTAGTTTTATTTAATGACAATACATTGTCTAATTTAAATAATTGATCATAGTCCCAACAATCAAGCAACTATTAAATTGTAGCAACTCATTAATTAATACAAAATGTAACTTAAGTATATGTATAACTTACCTTTATGTCCTCCATCCCATAATCAATACCTTATTGAAACTACCACAAACAATTAATCCTATTGATACACTAGATTAACATAGTTAACACTAAAAATTGAGTTAACAAAAGAACCTAACTCTCTTTCTCTCTCTCTCTCTCTCTCTCTCTCTCTCTATATATATATATATATATATATGTGTGTGTGTGTGTGTGCGTGTGGAACCCTATTAAATATTATTCTCCAAATGAGACATGATATATTTTAGTAGAAAATTCAAACTCTAATCGTTGTGGGAGTCTAACATCACTATTGATGATTGAAAGACAATATCAATTGAATCACCATTTCCATCTCATGCTTTAGTTAATCATACAAACAAGACTGATTGATAATTTGGTTTGATGGGCTAATTAAAGTGCCAATGAGATAGATACCACATAGTTGTGTGTACTTCAAAGCTATTTGTCTTCATGTTTCAATAACTAAAATAGGCCAAGAAAACATCTTTATTGAAAAGCATCCCAAAACCATGATTAGAATTTAATTTGCGCCAATTGTTGAACGTTGATTGGAGAGCAGTCATTGGTGGATCCCGAGTACGCCCTCTGAGCTAGAACGGCATTTGCAGCTTGAGTCGGATGAAAAGCATCCCAAAACACGTATTGGTCGCGGTTGAAACATGGTGTTGTCATTGGGAGGCATGTTATTTGGCCCTGGTTCCTCCCTATTCCACAACAAGCTCTATCTCTCACCGTAAATCCTGTGGTGGAACAATAAACATTTCAATAATAGTAATAGTCTGACCAAATAACTTAGATTATTATTATTATTAAAAAATGTGAAACCCTATAATACTGTAAAAAAAGCCATTAAGGAGAGAAGAAGGTTTCAGTATATAGGCTAAGGATCGTGTGAGAAGTGTAGGAAGAGATCTGAACCTTTGATCACTTTTAATCTCATGCCCACCCATTAATTGAGCTTTAGAAGGGAACTGATCTGATGCATCTCGGTGCACCTCACTAGTGTTACATTCAATTAGGATTGATCCAAGGATCGAGATCTCTTGTTATGCTTCTCACCATAACTCCTTTCTTACCAGAACCCAACCCTCAATATATATATATATATATATATATATAGTGAAATTGTTCAAGTCTAGCTGACGTAGACTCTAACACGCCCCCACCAACAGAAGCTAGATGAGAACATATTGCTCTAGTGAGGGGCTAGACAATTATAGATTGTCTAAAAGTATTGAGTCTCTAGAGTTGTATGCATTGTCTCTGATACCATGTGATCATATATATAAAAAAAACCCTCAAGATTACTCTTAAAAAAGACGGAAGAAAGCTTCCAATATGCACTGAAAGAAATTGTATCAGTCTAGAAAACCTTGGATCTAATAATTAAATTTCATATACATACCATATCTTGCAGGATTGTTCAAGATGTCACCAAAAACACCATATGTGTTTCCATAGACAAACATGGCTCCAGGGTGCGAGCCACCATTGAACTGATCAACAAGGTTTTTGAGGCCCTCATTGAAGGGTCCTATCAACTGGTTCACCGAATCCACACATCTCCCAGGAGCGGCTTGGCCAGTGGCTAACTGGTTAGGAATACACCCAAGTGGTCCGAGTCCTGGTAGAAAGAATTTTCGGAGTCCTAAGCTGTATAACGCCTATATACATCATGCAAAAACATATTCAAAGGTCAAAGAAACCGATCGTGTAAAAAAAGAACCGCAAAAAGATAAAATTATACGTGAATTTGGCGTGCATAATGGTTAAGAAGGAGGGTAGCAAATGCTTCCGGGGTGTACGTGCGGCTTGAGGTGTATACTGTTGGCATAAGGTAGTTATTGAGGTAGTCATTGCTGCCAAAAACCATGACTACTATCGAATTCGAGAGGAGCTGAGTGAGGTCCTCCGGGCTCAGCATGGTCCGTAACTGGCCTAACGTCGTCTCAAAGTTCACAACTTGCTGGTTTAGGGTGTATCGATCTCCCTGCAATAGAAATGGGTTTTAACACTGAAGTGTAAATTTACCGAAATGCGAATGTCTGAGTTAATGGACTTGTTTTTAACATAAGTAGTCAGAGAGATCAAAATTGCAAGGAATTCAAAAGCACAGTGACCATCAGCGTAATAAACGGACCACAGGGACGAGAACTGAAATTTTTAACATACTAATGGGACCACAAATGTAGTTTATTCTAAATAAACAAAGAAAAAAGAACCAATTTATGAAAAACTGTACGGTTTTGACTTTTTGGAGAATCAAAAGTCAAAATCTATATATTCACTTACATAATGTTGGCCACTTTCATCAAGGATACCTCCGGAAGCCGAAGCATAATTAACACCCCCCAGGAGCCTGTTTCCGGCGGTTCCAGGATCTGAAAACGGTGGCGGAGCGGGTATTCCCAGCCAATCTCCTGCACCAAAGATCCATCGTTCCATTAATCTAATTCAACATAATTTTGTTTGGATAAAAACAGAAGGCATATAAAGTACAACACCATAACAAAATCGGGTTTATAGGACGTCGAAAATGTGTAAGTGTCAGCATTATAAGATTTGAGTATATAGGAATGTTATAATAAGTTTATAGGAGATCTAAAACAAAATTTGAAATAAAACAAGTGTATTATAAAAACATGTCTTTTAAAATGATTTGTTCACACCACTTCTCAAAATTTGTCATATAAAAAACTAATAAAACACTTTATTTCAAAGAAAGACTTCAAAAACATTTTCAAACCAGGTCGAATAACAAACTTATGCCATCACTTTTATACAAGACCCATCATTCTTTAATCATATAAACTTAGGTCTTATAAAACAAAGTCTCTTGTTTATGAACCTGATTTTGTTAAACAATTAATAAAATTTGTGAGGTAAGGAAGTAAATTGTTGGTACCAAGAATGTCGGAGAAAGTTCTTGCATTACAAAATCTACCAGAAGCACCACGATAATAATCACATCCATAAGGAAAATAATCAGCTCTTGCAATGGACCTCATGAAGTTGTTATTCCCACTATCCACCAATGAATCTCCCATCACCCATATCGCCGGAGCTTGACCTGCTCCGATCACACCTTCCCACCACCACGCCACCACCACAACCACTGTGAACCACCACCTTTGTCTGCCCATTTCTATCATCTCTCTCTCTCTCTCTCTCTCTATATATATATATATATAGTTTAATTAATTAAAGACAGTAAAGTAACGAGATATATGTATGGTGAAGGCATATATTTGCGTGGCTATATATATACATACATACATACATATATACATACATACATGCATATATGATTAAAGGATAAAGACGACGATGGTTATCTTTTTGAAATTTAACTGATAAAAAAAGAGTGAGAATTTGAAGGCTTTTAGGTCTTAGCTTTTTGACTTGTTTATGGGGTTGGGTATGATTGTATTAGGGAGCAAAACTCATGTGAATATTGATATGGACGGCATTTTTGTGTTCATAGATCGCCTTTCTCACATGGTATCAATATTAAATAACAAAATTAAAGCCAATACAATTTAATTTATACCTTAAATAGAAAATATAAATTATTTATTATTTATTATTTTTTTTGCTTCAACAAGATTCTCTTTTAGCGTTTTCTAAAATAAATAAAACAAAACCGCAAGGGTTATAGTACAAAGGTTGAGACTCATTGGAATATGGTGGAATATTTCATTTGTAATTGGTTCGATTTTAGACGTCCATAGTAATTGTAGTTACTGAGTTTATCATGATTGATATCTAAAAATTGCAGTTTGTTAGGACTAGTCACATTTCTACTAAAAAAATAAAATAAGAGTTAACTTCAAGTTTAGAGAATTCTCTGTATTTAAACATGGAGAGAGAGAAAGAGATGATTTTATTTTTACTTTTTGTACCCATTAGATTGGGTTATTATTATTTTATATAAAGTATATCAAATATGATAAAATTAGAGAATATTTTAATTAATATATTCAATATATAAATCTTTAAATAAATATATATAAGAGTTAAAGTGTAATTTTATTTTATAGATTTTAACTTTTGATTTTAAAAAATTATAATAAATCTATCTTTTATACGTAAAAAATGGACATTTTTGGAAATATGAAATGATTCTTTATTCCGGTTTAAATTCAAAACATATAGGGGTTATAATTAATAGTGCAAAGAATTGGGTAAATTCCATTATAAGATTTAGTTTTCTATATATAAATCGACCCTTCTAATAGAGAGAGATTAGAGATTAAATGCAAACCATCTTTTTTTGCAAACTTTACAAACCAATATCATTCATTCATTTTCTTGATAAATTATCATGATTAAAATGTATTATATTAAAAAGGTAAAAAAAAAAAAAATGAAATAGACACTTTGCAATCTAACCTCAACCCCCCCCCTCTCTTTCTCTCCCCCCCTCTCTCTCTCTCTCTCTCTCTATATATATATATATATATATATAAGATTTAGTTTCCTATATATAGAAAACACCTTTCGGTCATGACAAATTTTCGTCCTTAGCTTCAACCTTGTTTTGCTTTCGTCATTGTTTAAGTTTTCTTGTCTTTTAGAATGCACAAAATCCGCTAAAGTGAAGTAAAATGTGCACAAGTTTTAAGGACGTAAATAGTATTTTGTTTGAGTAAATTACGCTTTTAGCCCTGTAGTTATCATTCAGTATCAAGTTTTGTTCTTATTTTGAATTAATTACATTTTTGATAAATACAGTTGTCAGTTTATTTCCAATTTGGTCTCTTTCGTTGTCATTTTGTTTTTGATTTGGCTCATCTTGTTGACTCTATTAAAAGAACTCAATTAAGTTATAGGCATTTTGCTCATTTTACCTCTTCTTATTTATTATCTTTCTTTTAATTAAATTTGTTCTTATCCTTTTCTAATTTTTAAAATAAACTTTAATTATACATAACCACCATCCATCTACCAAGTACCACCTACCACCGGTGGCAGAGCTATCAATATTCAATATCTTGGAGCCAGAAGGGGAATTGGCTCCCCGTTAAATCTAAAAAAGAATTTATTTTTTATAGTCAAACCTCAATTACCTCTTTTAAACATTATTTATTCAAATAGACAAATTTGATGTATTACCAAAGGAGTTTTTATTTATTTATATGGTTAGCTACATGCTTCTAGTATTTATTTGTATGAATATAGAAATAGTTATTTTATTCAACGACTGTTTTTGTTAGACAAATATTTATAAAATATATATATATTTTAAAAAGGTTTTCTCAACCTTAAAATTATGAATTTTCTTATATTATTTTTATGCATTTGTTAATAAATATTCTACTTCCACCCGTTGTTGGTGATTTTAGTGTCACCAGGCCATTTAAGTGTAATTGGAAGTAACATCAAGTTCTAAGGGAATTTTATATTATGTTCTAATACAATCCAGGAGGTGTGGAATGCACACTTGTTTTAAAACGAGTATGACCCTGATGGGAGTTAAGGGGCTACATCCCTTGCATTGTAATGGAAAATATCATAAGGACCAGAGGGTCTCTGGTGAGGGGCTCTGGTCGGCCTTGCCTCTGGTTGTTAAGGAAGACCTTGAGTTTAGTTGTTAAGGACCAAAGGCTCTGGTTGCTAACACTAGAGGCTTTGGTTCCTTGCCTCTGGTTGTTAAGGTCGAGAGGGGCTCTGGTCTGCCTTGCTTCTGGTTGTTAGGGACCAGAGGCTTTGGTTCTTTGTCTTTGGTTGTTAAGGACCAGAGGTGCTCTGGTCGAACTTGCCTTTAGTTGTTAATACCAGAGGCTCTGGTTGGTAAAACCAGAAGCTTTGGTTCCTTGCTTATGATTGCTAAGACTTGCCTCTGGTTGTTAAGACCAGATGGGTTCTTGTTCTACTTATGATTGCTAAGACTTTCCTCTGGTTGGTAAGACTAGAGGGGTTCTAGTTCTTACTTATGATTGCTAAGACTTGCCTCTGGTTGTTAAGACCATAGGCTCTGGTTGGTAAGACCAGAGGGGCTCTGGTTGGTAAGACCAGAGGAGCTTTGGTTGGTCTTGTCTCTGGCTTCATGTCTAAAACGGTTAGAACAGTTTTTTAACTGTGCACTACCATTAATGAACAGTTTTTGTAACTGTCCACTATTTTTAATGTGCAGATTTATAACTGTCCACTACTAAAATTGAGCCATGACTATCTTTTTGGTTAATTTTTTTGAGAATAAATAATTTTTATACTTATGTTTCAAGGACGGGGTTTTTGAACAATCCTAATATACTCTCCAAGTTTGTTCTCATTTTTGTGCCCAAAAGTGAAAGTGCTCTCTTGAGTCTTATCGCATATTGAATTTCGTGTAACCCATACATAGGGTCAAAATATCACTTCAGAAAGTGATCTCTTACACGATTCTTAAGTAATTGGGTTCTTGATTGACCAATCCTTTTCTGATTCTATACTTTTCTCTAACAATTGAATTGATATTAAGTGATGTCGGTCATGGCCGAGTCTGTGAAATAAATGACTTCAAAGTTTGGAAAGTTGGAGAAATTTGAAGGAGTTGACTTTAGGTGCTGGAATAAAAAGATGCATTTTCTGCTAACGACCTTGAAGGTGGTGTATGTGCTGAGCACCCCCATGCCCGAGATAGTGTAGGAAGAGATGCTCGAACAGACGTGGAGGAGGAGCAAGTGGGAGAATGACGATTACATATGCAGAAGCTATATTCTAAACGGTGTGACTGATTACCTTTTTGACATCTACCAAAATGCGGAAAGTGCGAAGGAATTATGGAATTCACTTGAGTCAAAATATATCGCTGAAGATGCTTCTAGTAAGAAGTTCTTGGTGAGCGATTTTAATAATTATAAAATGGTTGACTCAATGCCCGTAATGGAACACTATAATGAAATCCTTCGCATTTTGGGTCAATTCACACTGCACAAAATGAATATGGATGAATCCATTGTTGTGGCGAGTGTGATTGACAATTTTCCACCGTCTTGGAAAGATTTCAAGCACAATTTGAAACATCAAAAGGATGAACTATTATTGGTTCAACTTGGTAGCCACTTGCACATCGAAGAATCTCTTCATGTGCAAGAAAATGGCAAGGATAAGAAAGTTGAATCGGGACAGTCCTCGGTTAACATGGTCGAGGAAAATAAAACGCACTCCAATAATAATAACGGGAAAGGCAAGAAGCGGAACTTTGATGGACCCAATAAATCCTTCAAAATGAAGAAGGATTTGGTGTGTTGGAGATGCAACAAAATGGGCTATTGCAAACGTGATTGTCGGGTTAAGCTCAACGGTGCTGGTGGAACAAGTGGAGGATGTGGAGTCGAGTCTAAGGACCAAGCTCAAGTAAAAGGAGGTCAATTTTTGACTAACTTTGATTTTGATAAATCTGTCCATGTTTACTATGTTTCACTAATTCCTGAGTCTTTCTATGTACATGATGATGATTGTGCATCGTGGGTGGGCTCGGGGGCGACATGTCATGTTTACACATATCAACGTCGGTTTGAGAAATTGGTAATGGTTGAAGATGGATCTGTGCTAAACATGGGGAATGAGTCGAAAGCACCGATATGCGGGATTGGAGTAGTTAATTTAAAATTTACTTCTGGTAATCATGTTAGACTAGATGATATTTAATTTGTACCCAGAATTCGTAAGAATTTTATGAGTGGTGGTTGTTTGAATAACATTGGATATAAACAAGTTTATGAATCAGATAGGTATATCCTATCTCGATAAGGTAGTTTTGTTGGTTTCAGTTACTTTTATAATAAAATGTTTCATTTGAATGTGGTCAATAATTTTTTAATTTCTGAAAGTTCTGCATTTTTATCGTTGTCTTCTTCTTCTAAAATAGACTCGGTGACTTGGCATGCAAGATTAGGTCATGTAAATTTTAGAAGAATGCATGAAATGTCAAAGGATGGATTGATTCCAGCCTTCGATATTTCTGCAGGAAAATGTAAGACTATGCTTGCTTAAGAAAATTACAAAACAACCTTTTTCAAATATTGAAAGAAAATTGGTTGTTTTGGAAGTTGTACATAGTGATCTGTGTGATTTTCACTCTACTCCTTCTTTAGGAAATAAGAGGTATGTTGTCACATTTATTGATGACAACACTCGGTTTCGCTATGTCTATCTTTTGCATGCC